TCAGAAATACTCAGCTACTCCGAACTGATCTGATCTATGCATCAAAGGACGTATGTTCTGTGGATCTCCCAAAAGTATGGCTTGTGATATTTCATGAAAAATAAGTCATGAAACTTTTTCTTTTTTTCCAGGAAATATCTATTGGCTTTACTCAGGACACTTAGGTGCTACAGAATGTAACATGAGAACTGCTAACATATAAGGGAGTTCATAAAGTTGGCAGGAAATGGGATTGAAAGATAATGCAATTTGCTCACACCGGCAGGCCTCAATGTTTGGCCAACTGATGGGCAGTCCTTAGTGGGGATTGATGGATACGCCTGGGGTAATCAGCCACGTAGGATCAAGGGGCATCATTTGCCCAAGGACAAAATTCAGAAGGATGAGGAAGAATGGAGAAATGAGGGACACAAGAGACCAGGAATAACTAGGTTGGGGGTGGGGTGTTGCTTGGGGGGCTGGCAATCAATGACACGAAACAAGGTGTGTCTGGGTTATATGGAGCGGGGAACCGGGCTGCTCTGTAAATCTTTACTCAATTCACAATAAAAAGTTGCTATAAAAGACGGTGGAATTTTTCCCACATACTTTTGGAAGCCCCCTCACGTAGTTCAGTCTTAGTTTTTGTTTAAAACTGTGTGTATCTGTACAGTAAAACCTGCAAAAGCCAGACCCTGCGTAAGCCGGAAACCTGTCAGAGAAGGAAAATGAAAATGTTTTCTACTAAAACGAGCAGGAGGAAAATGGCAAGGTGGCAACCCTGTCAAGGGTGAACCGCTCCAAGGCAGCCCCGTGGAGTTCCAGCTCTTACAGGTGTCGCTCACCGTAGGGGTCACCTGTGCTTTGCACATGCGCCTGGGCGTATCAGTGCACACGAGAGGAAACATATGCAAAGCTCATCAGGATTGTGAGATTCCTGGTCTTTTCCCTCATCTTTTCTGCGGGAAACAGTAGGTCACAGTAGATCACTTCCAACATTGAAAAAGAAAAGGGGGGTAAAACAAAACCATGCGTTCGTGTAGTTTATCAAAGGCCCGGGTGAATGGGCCCCAACTCTGTCCTCCAAGTTGGGGGGCACAGTGTGTAGAAAGAAAGAAGCCCGATACTGGACCTCTTCCTCTCCGTTGTGATCTTCAGCACTGACCTTCTGATTCTCCCAGTGGTCAGCGCTGCCCCCGGGGCTCCGGGCTCACGTCAAGGGCTGTGCCCATGTGTCTGCCACATGCCTGCAGACTCGCGAGGAGTTTTTTTTAACAGGTTTCGATCGTGATTGCACATGCAGGGAAATGCCCCGTTCAGGGACGCGCACTGCGTCCTGGGATGGATGTGTGTTCCCGTGGGATCATGCTTCTGAATCACAGATGAGAGGTTCTCGTTCTCCCACAAAGAGGATGGGTCTCCATTGCGTCAGGGAAATTTGTGTGGGACTTCCAGTTAGGTGACGTCCGTCGAATTTCGCGTCAGAATTCTCTTTGTAGTTTTTTGTTTTGTGTTTTTGCTGCTAGCAGTTATCAAACAGCCCTCAGTGAGATACGACTTTACGTATCAGGGTCCATTAGGTGAGGGACTCCTGCCCCATCCTGTGACTCAGGCCATGTTCGTGTTACAAATAAATCATTTTAGAATTTAGTCTGTTTCCCATAGGATTAAAGACGTGCTTGTTGGGGAGGTTTCTTTTCGTGTGCAACTAAAAATCAACTTTAAAATTTTAAGATTTCGGGGGGGGGGCGGGGGGGAGTGGTCTTGACGAGAGTCTGTTCCCACCCACCTGCATATTTGTTTTTATATTTTTAATCTTTCTCTGTTTATTATGTAGCAACTCTACAGAAAGAAGCCTGGCCTAGCCATCACGTTTGCAAAGCTGCCTCAAAACTTGGACAAAAACCGATACAAAGACGTGCTTCCTTGTGAGTGTGCAAAGCAAATGCCTGATTCCCCACCCCCCACCCCAACACACACACCCCCAGCGAGAGAGAGTGTGTCCCTTTTCAAGCAGATTGCCTGGTGTTCTGGAAAGATCTTCAGTGTGTCTGTAAACACCAGTCTTTATTGCCGCCGTTTCAGACCGGGAACAGTTGGAGAGTAGTGTTTATGCTAACGAGGCGGGCGCTGCAGATGGGGCTGGGAGAGAAACCCGTGTGCACTCGGTATGATAAAAATAACACTACGAACAATTAGTAAAAAATGTTCTCTCCCCCACAGATGATACCACCCGTGTATTGCTGCAGGGAAGCGAAGACTATATTAATGCCAGTTATGTGAACGTAAGTTGGGAACCGTACGTGATCGCCGTAGCTACAGGCGCGCACCGATTGTGTACATGGGGAGAGTACCGGGATGGCCTGTGTGTGTGTGTGATGGTGGCCTCCGGCTGCCCTGGGGACAGACTCACTTCAGCCCTCACAGGAGGCCGAGCAGGGCGGATACTTTGGTTTTATTGAGGACAGAGCTAAGGGTCAGAGAGATGACGTCACTTGCGAAAGCAGTGAAGCTCACAGGAGGTAGGAGCCACACTGGGACTCTGGGCGCGCGCCCCTGGCTGATGGTCCCGTGTCACTCCCTCTGTGTGCCCCCACCTGCCGTGATAGACACCCTGCCTTAAGAGAAGAAAGCTTAAAGCCCCTCCTGCGTATGTTACCCAGACAGAGCAGGTAAAACATTATTCCTCATTCCTGGGCCTCTCTAAACCTCAGCTTGTTCATCTAGCCCAGTAGTGGACCTTGGTCTTTGCAGGCCAGGAAGCAAAATGGAAGGTCTTTGTGGTGACTTTCTTAAATGACCACTTAAACGTCCCTGGGCAATGCAAATGGTTAAGGAACTCAGCAAGATAGGCTGGCAGTTCTAGCCCACCGGGAGGTACCTCGGAAGAAAGGCCTGGCCATTCCTTCCAAAGAGCAACCACGTGACACCCGGTGGAGCCCAGGCTGACTGACTCACAGGACTCACCAAGAGTGCAGGTTAACTCACTAGGCTATTGTTGTTTTTGATAAAATCATTTAAAATGCAGCCATTTAAATATGTGAAGACCGTTCTTAGCTCAGTCATTACTAAAGCAGCTTTGTCCCTCCAGCTGTCGTTTTTCCAGCTCCTGATCTCAAAGGACAGGTGATAGTTCTCAGTTTGGGGTCTAAAGGTGTCACAGAGTAGCCTGGCCTGCCCTAGGAAACGTGGGTCTGGTCCGTGGTCCCACTTACTCAGCAACACTGGTGGCATTCTCCGACCCTCGGCTGGATGCCCCATACCACACTGTCCAGACCCTTCCCGTCACCCATGGGAGCCTGAGACCAGGGCTGAGGAAACTCTGGGCCCAACCACTAGCCAACCTTGTTTCCTGTCCCCATGGAAGGCTGAGCGAACTGTACACCACTCCAGAGCCCAGCAGGTTCTGCGCTTTCCCTCGTAGAAAAGATGCCCTTCAGCGAGCCAGAAGCACAAGCAGAGCAAGGTAGAACAGGGACAGGGAGGTTCATGTCAAGATTGACCACCGTAATGGTGGCAGCTCTGGAAGCCACGCAGAAGGTAGCGTGCCCCCGTTATTCACGGCCTGTGCCTCCCAGCCTTATGCTTCAACGGAATGTAAGCAGATGCGGACCGAAGACCTGCATCGAGAAAGACCAGAGGTGCGGCTTGCTATGCATTACTGAGAATACAGGAAGGAATGACCTGTTAGATTTCAGCCCTGGGAGTCATTTAAAACTGCGCCACCTTGGAGCTGCATTCTGGTGACTGGCCGCTGAGGGGCACACGTACATTCTGTCTTCACCGTCTACTGCTGGAGCACTGTCCAGGATCTTTCAAGGGCATTAAAATCCTGTTTGCCTGTACTTTTCTCATTTGTTGTCAACTGATCCATGATCTTAGTCTAGTGTGAAGTGTCCCCTACCAAGTGGGAGTTTCAGATCCAGTTCCCTGCCCGCCTCATGGTGGTAACAGATTTCCAATGCCTTGATCTCTTGCCAGATGGAAATTCCTGCTGCTAACCTTGTGAACAAGTACATTGCCACTCAGGGACCCCTGCCACATACCTGTGCACAATTCTGGCAAGTCGTTTGGGATCAGAAGTTATCACTCATTGTCATGTTGACAACCCTCACGGAGCGAGGTCGGGTAAGTGGCTTGATTTCCAATTCAGATGTGTGGTGTCAGCCGGCACTTCGGGGAAGGTGAATCTCAGGGCTGGGAAGTATCTTGAAGGTCTCCCAGTTCAACCCCTCCTTGGTAGCCCATGGTGTCCTGCTCGGAGCCCTTAATGGGCACCTCCATTGGCTAGGAGCTCTGTGTCACCTCCCTCTGGCCCTCCTCCCGGCCTTCCCCACAAAGAATGATGAGACGCACTCCCACTCCTGGCCCCAAGCCCTTCCCCTTCCTCACCGTCCCTTCCCCAGAGGTGCGCTCTGTGGTTCTTTCCAAATTGGCATTTCAGACTGAGGAAATCTAAGCTAGCCCTAAGCCAGAGCAGTGTGGCTGCGGTGGCCTTGCTGACCCAGGCCAAGGACAGGACCTGGGAGGAGCAGGATGGGTGCCAGGTTACCTCCCCATCAACCCTAAGAGAGGTTACCTCCTCTGACAACGTCTGCACGTGTCCCAGCCAAGCGTGATGCAGAAGAGGTCAGAGAGAGTGGCAGGTACCACACGCGCGTAGCAGAATGTGCGTTTGCCCCGGGACCAAATCCCTGATCACATAAGGGAAGGCAGTGTGCCAGGGAATCCACTGACTTCTGGATACTACTGAATGCTCTCATGATCGCTGCACCTGAAAGACGTCCCCAAATGAGCTCTACATGACTCTGGAACCGCCTACTCTGAAGGGCTGAGAGCCGCTTTCTCTAGGCCCTCGCTGCTTATCGAGTCTGGAATGTTGAAAGTCAGGATGCCTGGGGTTGGCGTGGGCAGGGACTGAATTTGAGGCCAACTGACCTTCTCATGCAAAACCCCACAGTTAGAAGTACTAGCTCTGCAGATCCCCACAGATGGCAAGGGTTGCAACATTGCGGGGTCCTCCACAGATGCCTCCCCCTCTGCTAGAGCACCACCAGGGCCTCTTCTGGGGCTGCTCCGCTCAGAATCCCTAGTCGTTCCTCCCAAGCTGAAATCCACACCGCTTACCTAGGACCCCCACCAAATAAGCTCCCCTCTCTGCCTCACGGTGCCCATCCCCCCCACCCCTCAGCACCTGACAGCCACCCTCGGCTGATGGAAGCCGTGCCATCTGCTGGGCTTTCGCTAAGCGTGTGGCCAACGGGCGTGGTCTGCCTTTACCTCAGTGCTGCCATTGAGCTGCTGCCCCCATTGTGGACCTAGGCCCTTGAGTCTCTGAACCTATACATGGCAATGTGGGGGCTCCGGAAGCAGGCTCTCTGGGCTCGAATCTGGGCTCCTAGACTGCGGTCATCAGAGGCAGTGGGAGCACTCCAGAGCACAGTTGTTGGTCCTCCCAGCCCTGCTCCTGCCCCTGTCACTGTTCTGTCTTCCCAACCTGGTTGCCATCAGAGACTTTGTCACAGGCTCTGGGAGCATCAGCACACTCCTCCGTGACGTCACTGGAACTCTTTGGGAGTCCGGTTCTTGTTTTCAATAGAAAATTAGGTTACTTGGACACTGATGTGGAACTCGGGGGAGCCTGGATTCTCTTTTTCTCTGAAATCCTTGCTGCCATCTCCTTCAATGGCACAGTGGCCAAGACTGCAGGGGGTGGGCGGGGGCAGGCTACCAGGTTCAAAACCTGACTCTCACTTCCTAAATTCCTGACCTGCGCAAACGAAGACACCTCTCTGGGAAGCATGGGACCGTAATTGTCATGGGCTTGTAGGGGAGCTAGCCCAGGGAGCCAGGAGGAGTGCTTGGCACGAAGTCAGCATTACAGAAGCAGCATCTGGCAGTAGTGGTAACACCAGCATCGGCAGCACGCACCCGAGTATGCACTGTGATTGCCAGGTGTGTGCCAGTGACTCCACCTTGCAGCTGTAATCACGTCTCTTTCCATCATAGAGCCTTACATGGATAGCTCATATTATTTGCCACAGATAAAAGCTAGATGTGAAGATACAAAGGTGACCCCCAAAAAGGTGTTATTAAATTCTAAGCAAATGCTATTGCCTTTCGAGTCAGCACATGACGCCTGCTTATTCATATTGTCTCTATTCTCTCACCTCTCTCCATCCCTCCCTCCTCTGAACTCCTCTCTCTCTCTCTCTCTCTCTCTGCTGTGACTCCTTCCATGGCACCGTCAGAAATATTGAAAGGAAAACACCCCTCTCCCCCTGAGACTCAGCAGCATTTAGAGCTGGTGCGCCCTCCTGACGTGCCACCCACCGCCCCGGCGCGTTGCCGACCTTGATCTGGCCACTCGGTATTGTCTCCCCAGCAGACACCAAGTTCACTGCCTTGGTTTGCAGAAATCGACCTGCCTCTCCCTCTGAAAACTACTGCCCTTTTCTGCTTTGGGCCTTTGTTCTCCTGTTTCCTGGGTGTCCAGGTTCTTACAGGAGCTGTCCTCGGGTACCCCCTCTCCTGTCTCAGAAGACCTTTACACTAAAAAGCCGTGCGATGCCTCAGCGCGGACGCCCAACCCCATTCAGGGCTGTCTCTGTCTGTCTCTTTCCCCTCTCGCAAAACGCTCTGGCCTTTCCAGCTGGACGGTTCTCCTTCCCCTCGGAGAAAAGGGAGCCTCAACAGGAATGGATTGTTGTCATAGGAGCAGGGACAGATGATCCCTTCTCGGTAGCAGCCCCTGCTCGGTCCAGCTGGGCAGAAAAGGCCCTTCTGTGCCTCCAGGGGCCTCACCTTCCTCTGGCTGCTCTCTCCCTGTCACTGAACCTGAGCTCATCTGAGCTCTGCGTGTGAGTGACCCCCTGCGGATGGCTTTGTCTCCCTGCCCTTCCATTCTAAGGGAGCCTGTTCTGGCTGGGCCCATCACCGCCACTGCCACCGGCTTCCTGCCCTGGAGATTCCCATCTCCCGGGAGTCACAGCCCTCCCCTCCCAATCTCTGGCCCTGGGAACTTACCTCCCTCGCTTATGGGTGGTTAGGAACCTGTCCTTGCACATCCAGGGGCCTGCTTCCTCTTTTCTACTACGAATCCTCAGGTGGCACGGGCCCTTTGTTGTTAGCTCCCCATCTCTTCCTCACCAGCACCCCCGGTCCTTCGGATGAGGCCTCAGTCCAGGTGAGCAGCCCTGGCCTTTGCTGTTCCGAGCAGAGAGTCCGGCCCCAGAGTCCCACAGGCACGGGCTTCCTGCAAGGCCCCTGCTGAGCTTCCCCTCCTTTATACCCACCCCCAACCACTCCCTCACCCCAAACCATGGTCTGTCTCTTTTTACTTGACAAAGTCCTGCTCTCTCGTCTTCCACTGAAGGCATTTCTTGGGGTGGGGGGAGCATGTTTGTTTGTTTTCCGACGTGTCTGGAGGAGCCCCGGGGTGCTGTGGGTGGTTGGCCCGCTCCCCAGAAGGAGGAAGAGGAAGCTGCAGTACCTGTCAAGGTTGTCATTTTGGATGCGCTCCGAGCCCTTCCGCTCTGTGCCAGGTGCCGCTCTGCGTGAGAACCAGCTCCGTGGCAGTGACTTTAGGGCCTTTTCCGCGCTGTCTGCCCATTATCAGGGGCACGGGCTTTGGGTTCACAGGAAGCATTTGACTCTGGCACCTGGGCGTTGTAACTGCTTAACTCTAGAGGAGACGCTAGGGCGAGGTTTCCTCCTCCCTGGCCAGGGGGTGCTAATTCCCCACTCCTTGAGGGTCAGGCACTAACACCCCTGCACACGAGGCCTGTCACACAGTAGGCATTCATTCAGGGCCCATCCTGCCGAGTCTCATGGGGCTAAGGCAGCGGGCTGCTCTGCCCAAAGTCAAGGGATGGATGGCTGGCTCGTCAGGGCGCCGAGAGCCCTGTCAGGGGTCTTCTTCCCCGGACGCTGTGCTTGGTCAGAAGACCCCTGTGAGTGGTTACGCAAGGGGCACTAGGCTCGGATGCCTTCTCTCTCGACCCCACCCTCCGGCTCACCTACCTAAGTGCCTCACAGGCAGGCACCCCAAGGGAGTCTTCTCCCCACCCCACACAGCACACCCTCTCACACACACACAGGGGCCCCTTCTCCTGGGCCCCCCCTTTCAGTCCACGCCATCTGCTTTCCAGTGCCCCAAGCCAGGAATCTGGAATCCGACATTACAAGCCCCCCTCCCTTTCTTCGCCTTCCACATAGTCATAGTTTGACCAGGTGGCTGCCTTCTTGGGGGAGGGGGGCAGTGAGCAATGAGAGGACCCTGTCTGACAAAACACCCGGCCCGTCGGTTCCCATCACCCTCTGTGCGTGCACCCCCGCAGAGGGGGATCCTGAAGCAAGGGAGAACCCAGCTTCACCCACTGGTTCCCTTACAGACCAAATGTCACCAGTACTGGCCTGACCCTCCCAGCGTCGTGGAGCATGGCGCATTCCACATCCGGTGCCAGTCGGAAGACTGCACCATTGCCTATGTGTTCCGGGAAATGCTGGTCACCAACAGCGAGGTGAGCAGCACCCTGAGGGGAGGCTAAGGGTGGGATGGAGAGGACGTAGGGGGGTGGGGGGACACAGCTCAGTGACAGGCACCAGGTCAGTGTCCATAGTGGGCCTTGATTGTGCTCTGGCAGTGGGTCACTGCTCTGCATCCTCTCAGGCAAACATTTCTGTAATAAGAGTGATCTCATCAAGACCAGTACTGCAGGACCTGACCAGAAGAGATGCTGCCGTGGGCTGACGTGGTCCGGGGTGCAGTCCTTTGGGGAGGGTGGGTGGGCAGAGGCCACAGCAGGACCGGCACCAAGGGAAAGGAGTGTCAGGAGGCAGGCCGGGGGCCGCTCGCCCATACCCTGATTTGATTCACAAGAGTGTCTTCCCAGACAGGAGAAGAGCACGCCGTCACGCATCTCCAGTACGTGGCCTGGCCTGACCACGGCGTTCCTGATGACTCCTCGGATTTTCTGGAATTTGTGAACTACATGCGGTCCCTGAGAGTAGACAGCGAACCTGTCTTGGTTCACTGCAGGTGCTGTGATCTGGTTTTATTGTTTTTGTTTTTCAAATACGGGTCTTCCTTGGGAAAGGCCTGGAGAAAGTGGTGAACACGAGACGTACCCTCAACCCTGTAGGGCTGTGTGCCCTGTTTGGAATTCCACCGATCTCAAATGTGATCCAGAATGGAGGGCAAGACCCCCGTGCTCACCTTTCCCTTTGTCCTTGAGCTGGCTAAGCTGCACAGCAGGTGGGACTAAGAAGGGGGAGGTGGATTTTGCCCTTGGTAGTGGATCTCTTTCCATTGGTTTTTAAGCCCCTCGACGGCAGGACACGTGAGGATAGGCTCAGGAGGACAGTTCTGTCGGAGTAAACGGGGAAGCCGGTAGACTTCTGCTGGGCTGGGTGGAGGAACTGCTCAGGCAAACGCTCAATCCCACCGTATCTCACCTCTCCAGTGCTGGGATAGGTCGAACTGGTGTGCTGGTCACAATGGAGACAGCCATGTGCTTAATAGAGAGGAAGTTGCCCGTGTGCCCGCTGGACATCGTCCGGAGAATGCGAGACCAGCGCGCCATGATGGTGCAGACATCAGTGAGTAGAACTTCAGTCCCAAATATAGTGGCCGTCACCTCTTGAGCGCTGACGCTGGACCAGCCTGTCCGGAGGGCTCTGCAGGTCAGAAACCTGGGGCTGGAGGAATTGAGTCCCTCGTCCAAAGTCACAGAGCTGGTGGGAGGCCGAGCCACTCCAAAGCCCACACTCCTCCGACCTCGGCTGCACAGTCTCCTCTCTGCTGCCCCTCGATCAGAGAGCAGCTCTGATTGTGTGCTGCGTAACTGAGCAACTCAAAGGAAGCAAAGGCCCACCAGGAGGATCGCACCCTGCTTCAACACACAGCCCTCTCCCTCCTCTGGGCTCTCGCTCACTTGCAAAGCACCTGAGATCTTGCTTCTGACAATGTCTATACAATTTAAAGTCTTGCGGCTTTCCCCCCAGATCCACTGGAGGGACAGTGTGGAGGTGTGAACAGATGGTAATTCAGGCCTCTCCCCATACTGAGTGACCTTTGAATAGTCCCTTAACCTCTCTCCAAGCCTCAGTCTCATCTGAAAAATGGGGGCTATGCCATGTCTTTCATCCATGCATACATGCAGCATAGCACCAGAGCCTTCCCCTGTCAGTCCATCAGTGACGAGGGCCATTCAGGGAGGTCTGAGGATCGGGCAGAAGGTCCCCTAGTACAGACTTTGAGAGCTCAGGAAGGCTTCCTGAGGGCATGATCTTGGACACCATCCCAGGGGTGGACGAGAAGAAGTTAGTGTACCAGCCAGCTCTACATCCTCCAGACTTCTGGGCAAAGGTTATCAGGTTTCCCTAATAGATTGTGAGTTTTCATGGCTTTCTGTGTATTTCTAACCCAGAAGTCTGATTAAAAGAAAAAAGGCTTGTTCCCTGCCCTGGTCTGTGATACAGAAGACCCTGTTGCTGGTTCAAAAACAAAAACGTAACAAAACACAACTCACTGCCATTGAGTCGATGCCTATAACTCCTAGCAACCCTCTGAAACAGGGTAGCACTGCCCTGGTGGGTTTCCCAGACTAACGCTTGACGTGCAGAAAGCCTCGTCTTTCTACCGCACAGCGGCTGGAGGTTTTGAATTGCTGGCCTGGGGAATAGTAGCCCAATACGTAACCACGATGCCGCCAGGCCTCCTCTGCTGGTTCACAAGAGGAGGGGGTGCATCTATGACCTCGGTTGGTTCTCGAGCTGATAAAGCTAAGTCTGAACTGCTTTCCTTAGCCTGTACACGTCCTTATGTCTCGGCTCCCACACCATGTTAAAGACCTTATTTTGCATAACAGCTTTCATTGGCTGTGGTCCTCTGTCAGAGGCAATCCAAGTCCCTCCTCCAGCACAAGGGGCCTAGTGGCACAGTGGGTCAATCATTTGACTGCTGACCAGGCCGGCCACCCTCTACAGGGGAAAGATGAGGCTGTCTCTCCTGGAAAGTTCACGCTGGTGGAACTTCTAAAGAGCAGTTCTACTCTGTCTGGGGCAGGGTGCCCCAAGACCAGGCCTCCCACAGCCAGATGGCAGCCCACCTATGCAGGCTCTCCCCCTCCCACACCAAGTCTTCAGGGCCAGGATGGTGAGCCCAGCCTGAAGGGCCTCGCACCGCCGTGGTTTTCACCGCCGTCATCAATCCTGGCAGGAGACAGACAAGATCGGCCCAGGGAAAGGTCCCTGGGGTAAAGCCCAGAGGAAACTGGGTACAGGCTACTTAGAGCCCGCTCCCAGTGGAGTCACGGGGGCACATGCCTGCAGCAGTGAAACCGAGCCACCAGGGTGACCTGTCTACCTGGGAACCCCTGCAGAGCACCTCTATGATCCTCAGACAGCTCTCCCTGCCCAGCGTGGCTGCCCTCAATCCCCCTGCTGAGCAGCCTCCCCTGCCGCCCACAGGCAGCCAGTCTCCCCTCTCCTGTTCCCCAGACACACTGCCCACCTTTCTCAGAGCACCCCAGTCTCAGCAGCTGACACTTGCTTGTTCATGGGTGTGCCTCCTGACAGACATGTACCGCAGGCTCTCTCCTGGGCCGGTGCTGGGTGGGCTAGAATGGTCACGTGCATGGTTTCTTGCAGGACTCTGCAGGCTGCCTGACCTGACAGCTGGCTGTGTTTTCTTTTCCAGAGCCAATACAAGTTTGTGTGCGAAGCGATTCTGCGTGTGTATGACGAAGGCTCCATCCAAATGCTGGATCCCAGTTAAGACAACTGTGAAAGCAATTCATTCCTCTTCCCCAAGGGCCCCTCCTCAAGGACAGACCCTCTCCCCGGCAGCAGCAGGAGGAAGCCGCGTGGCTGCGGGGAAGGAATGAGCACGTTCGAACCCAGGCACTTTAACTTTCGGTAGAAAAGTATCATGTACATAGGAGCCGTGTAGATACGCATGCCGCTCCGTATAGCCTCACTTAGGCCCGTTCACCCGAGTGTGAGAGATAAGGGGATGTCTCAGTTTGGGGTCTGTCCTACTGCCTTCTAGCCAGACATGCCCCTACCCCTGTAAGCCACCCTGGGGCGAATGACCCTACCCCTGTAAGCCACCCTGGGGCGAAGCAGTTGTGCTGCTGACCTGCCCGAAACACGCTGTGTGGTTGTTTAGGGTTGCATGGATGGTGGGTGTGTGTGCGCGCGCACATACAAGGGCCAAGCTTTGTGTGCTGCTCATTGGAGCTGGCAATTCGAGTGCGCAGCTCGGATGCTAAGGAGCCCTGATGAACGTCCTATAACAGCTGGGGTGAGTTCAGGCAGTGCTTTTTGCTGCCCCCTCCTCTCATCCCCCCCCTCCCTCCTCTGTCCCACTTCTGGTGGTGGTCGTGCTTCGGAGAACCATCCTCAGACCCCTTCTCCCCACCCCCTGGCCCATTTTCCCTCGGCACTCACCACCCTCTTCAGGTCCCTACGCAGTGCCTGCACCGGAATAGCAACGCTACGTCCGGGTGACCTTCCAGCGGAGGCTCCGAGAACTCGGCCTCTCGGCGTCTTGCTGTCGTCCGTTGGTTGGTTTGAGAAACAGGTGTCTCTGGCCTCTGCACGCCGCTTACTGTACGCTCAGAACCCAGCACTGGAATCACTTACTACTGAATCTACTACATGCATTGCTGCTACTTCAAGCTATTACACTTGAAACATGATGATTCTTGGGAGGGGGATACGGGATGATATCATCTAAAAATTCAGACTCTGTGGCCCTTCTTGGAAAGAGCTCGTCGTCGATCCATGGGAAACCCCGCTTCTGGAGGGCCTTGTGTGGGTGTGTGTACATGTGTGCGCGCGCGGCGCCCAGGGCTGAGTGGTTCTCAGGATCCCTCACTCGATTCACACGGCAGTCGAGTTGATGTAAAGAATGAGTCTCTGTATAGAAGAACAAACGTGTGCATTCACCCTCCATTGCAATGGTCTCCATTTCATTTCAAAGGAGAAGATCAGGCTGTCTGAACATACACACCATTTGATGTTAATTTATTCTAAGTACACCATGATTTTGATTGTCCTTAAAGAATTCTGCCTTTGTTAATACTGTGTTTAAATTTTTTTTCTTTTTTTAATCTCTGACAGGATTGTAGTGCATTATTATTTAAAGAAAATAAATTACATGGAAATTTTAATGTGGTATTTTTAAATAGCAGTTTCTGTGTACCCCGAGGAGGAAGCTAAGCCAGTCTGTGAACAGCCCTTCTAGAAAAAGGGTGCTTTCATATCATGGAGCACGGAAAGGAAGCCAGCTTGCTATTCAGCAAACTCTGGACCAATTCAGTAGCTTCCTGGTTGCAAGATAGATAGAGGCCCACCCAGCAGAGGCCGGGTTTCTAAGGCTCCTTTATCTCCAGACCCTGCTTGCTTACTCCCAAACTCTCCGTCTTTTCCCCACCAAAACTGCATTGCTCCATGGGAATGCTGACAGGGGGGTGTTTAATGGTGCTGCAACCCTGTACCGTAAAGGGGAGAATGGCTAGCAGAATGCGGAAGGAATAGGAGATGTCGTCCTTGCCCCTACTCGGTCCCACATAGTCACAGAAGGACCCTGCCTTGTTTCCTCATCTGTAAGACAGGAGGAACAAGGCTCTCGCATTAGGCTGGGTCTGGGGATTGAAGAATATCATGTAATTAATGTAACTTTTCATCAGCTGGAATATAACTGGCACTGCAATGGGTGGGCCCCTTGAAACAGCCAGCCCTCAAATATACCAAACTAATAGAATCGTCTGGGTTTTCTATAAGAGAAAAGTGCTGCTCATCTAGGCAAAGCAAGAGCACAGCAGACTGTTAAACCAGTTCCTCGGTTCCATTCAACCTTAGAAAAAATGTTATCAGCCAAGCACACACACACACACACAAAATAAAAAATTTTTTAAATGGGTTTGAAGGGGATCCACGTTGGCAGAACTTTAAAACATGCCATCAGGGAGCTATGTGGCAGAAATGCATGGCCCCCTGTGTGCTAGAAGCCTGAAAGGGTGATTGTGTCTGGGAGCCAGAACACTGCGGGGCTGCCCCCTGCCCATGCAGTCTTAACCATGCTCCTCAAAACCATTGGTTTCCATGGGAAATATTTGAGTTTTTCTCCTCTGACACATTCCCGCCTTAAACAGGTTTCTGCGTCTGCGAGTTCTGTATTTAAATAAATAAATAAGCTATTTAAATGGTTGCAGAAATGCTACTGCCACTATTGTTATGTACATTTCTACGGAGCTTACGAAGCCTGCAGCCAGCTTTCCCTGCCAGTGTGCTGGCCAGCACTTCAGATGGCGCCGATGTTCCCAGAAGCAGAATCCATGAAGTAATGGGAAAGTCCCAGGCGAGGGATGGTTCCCAGGGTCAAACGATACAAGTAAACACTGCAGCTATTCCCCAGTCAGACCTGGAGCTCACCCTTCCTGTTTCACCACCCGGACACCTCGGCTCACCGAGCCTTTTCCAGCCCTCCCTGAAGAACTTCGTCAGAATCGGGATGAATATTTTGCCTGAGAAATCCAGCTGGGTGTGAACAGAGAAAGCATTTACAGCCTACGTGCTGGCGTGTAGGAGCTTAATTAGCTGGGTGGTTGGGCTGAGCTAATCGAGGGGAGAGTGCAGCCAGTGTCACTGTCGAGAGCCCACACTCGGTGTGTTCCCTGCGGAAAGGCCAACTCGGTCCAGGTGGGGGCAGGAGCGTTTGGACCGCAAACTTCCACTGGTCTTCAGTCCGGACCGCCGTCATTGATACTGCAGTCTCTCTGCCTTGCAACGAGTGGAGATGCTGTGTTGCTGGTATACATTTTCCTTCCTCCGAAGTTGTCAGAGGGGCAAGCAACAGGCTGCGCCATCCTCCAGAGGTCATGAAGATTGGGGGGAGGGGGGGGATTGGGGAGAGGCAGGACTTGGGGTACACCACCTAGGCCGAGACAAAACGTGTCAACCTTTGGCCCACATCTGTGGAAGAGAAAGATTGGGCTAGACTTGGTGAGCTCTCGGGTTCTTTCCAAATTGGGGGAGTTTCAGATCCCAGGAAATCGAACTAATCCGAAGCCAAAGCCGTATCGCTGCTGAAGAACTGTGTCTCCCAGTCCTTGTCGCCTCGGGATGGTCCCTCAGACCCGGGCACCCACCGCCGGATGCAGAGACGAGGATTGCCACCCTCCAGTCCCTGTCTCATCCGAAGCTGCGAACAGTCTCAGCAGAGACCGGCGCAACCAAATGCAGGTGTGCCTGGTGGCCAGGTGGTCCCGCCATCTTTGTGATTCAGGTTCTGTTTGGAGCAACGAAAGGATTTGTATTATGTTGTATTAAAAAATAATTGATGAGCAATATGTTTTTTTTCTTTAAATCTGGAGTGCTTTTCCATTCTGAGCTGTTTTTTGTCAGTGAGTGCTGAAAAGCGATGCGATCAACATAAAACAATGATGCTAAGTCACACTTATTGTCTGATGACTTTTACTTCTGACAATGAATCTGGCTTTCTTGGAGGGTGTGGTAATCTGGTTAGACTAGAGAAACAAATTCATAAACACGCAGATGTATATAAGAAAGAGGTTTACATACAAGAGCAATTGAACATTTAGAAAACAGCCCAGCCCAGTCCAGATCAAGTCCATAAGTTTGATACTAGCTCATATGTCCAACACCAATCTATAAAGTCCTCTTCAGACTCATGAAACACATGCAGTGACGCTGAGTGCAGGAAGATCACAGGCCATGGATGGGAAGGCTTGTAGATCCAGTGGCATTGTAAGCATCTCAGCGCTGGCCGGGGGTCTCTACCTGGCTTCTCCAGGCCCAGGGTTCTGGCTGCATCAGGATAGGCCCATGTGGCTTCTCAGGAGTGGTTGTCAGGAAGTGAGTCTTGGGTCTTGTCAGTAGAGGATCTCCAAGGGAGTGAGCCAAGAGAAAGAGTCTCCTGCCTCCAGGGAGGAAAAAATACCGCAATTCCCAGAATCATTAGAGGAAGGCCACGCCCACACAAAGGCCTCATTGGCTATGACCTGATTGACACTAGACTCCACCCCTTCACTCTTAATCCTCTCAAGTCCCAAATTGACACCAGATTATATAGATTACACAGGGTTTTCTTATTTGGCTTGCCTTTGTTTTTGTAAGAAACGCTAACCCTTTCGACAGAGAGGCACTCCACCCATCTCCACAATGTCCCATGCTCAGTCCCTTCTCTGCCTTATTCGTAGGCTGCAGATTCAAGATGAGAACCGGGTTCCCCTGCTGATAATAACTTACACAAACTAGAGCCTTTTTTTAAAAACATATTTCTCCTTTGATTTTGAAAAAATTATTAATTGGGAGTTAATACATGTATCATTCCATAGTTCAACAATCACATCAAACAGAATTTTACAATTGCCACCACAGTTTCCAAACATTCTTTCTTTCTGGACTTTTTGACATTGCCTCCCTTTTATACACACACGCGCACACACACACACACCACCACTGTACCCCACCCCCGAAATCCTTATTCTACTTGCTGTCCTTGTAGGTGCATCAATCCTGGGTGTCCATATACGGAAACACTGAAAAACGTCTAACACAATGTCAAGAGGGTGCCTTGCAAAGACGTAACACCTCTGAGATACACCCTAATATGAACAAACAAAAACAAAACTACAGGAAATGCTGGAAACTAGATCCTGTCCAGCATGCATCAGAGGGGCCATCCACCAACTTGGTTTTCACTGTTCAAGTCAGATTTATGCTTCAATCTTCTAGACTCATCTCTCCAATGCACACTGTCTAGTAACCATTTGCCACCCATCCCTCAGCTGTGGATAGAGGGAGTTCAATCTTCAGTCACCCTCTCATGCAGGCTGCCGCATGGCTCTGTGATCATCAGCTTGCTGCTTTACCAGCCCCAGGGGGGAACTGTACCTTCTGCCTTGAGAACCAGTCACCTTCCTGCACTTGTTCCAGCCAGGAGGGTGAAGGGAAAGTTGCAGGAAAGCCACCCTTCTTCCCTTATGGACACGTCCTGGTAACAAGACACCTCTGCTCACGTCCCATGGATCAGAATCTAAGGCACGAGCCATCCCTACTCCCAGCAGTCTGGGAAAGGCCTTTTATTCCAAGAAGCCGCATGCCTCCCTAAAGCTCAGTGGTTCTATTTCTGAGCAGGAAAGAAAGGCCAGGGTTTGAGATAGGATTCATAGTCTCTGCTATGATACATTCCTACGGGTACCTAGCAAGCTGGGAACTCGTGCACACAGCAGTAGCAAAGAGTTCAACCATATGCTTCTTAAAGCACAAAGTCCCTTCAGAAGAGGTGAAGCGGGCCCCTCGAGTTGAGAAGGGCACCCTAAGCATAAATCAGATGCACTTGGCTCTGGAGACCAAGCGGGTCCCCCCTCGAGAGATGAGGTGCGGGTGCCCCTTAGGGAAACACTTCTAGTTTTTTATATGGCACTTTCAAGGGGGAGGGGCTTGCTGCTCTCCAGGTGGTCACGTGACTTTCTGATTCCTCACTGCGTCCTTGGGTCGCATACATCATTTCGGTTTTATCTGGGCTGCTGCTCTGGGTCAGCCGGTCTCAGCATTATCTTCCAGTAGCCCTGTGCCAGAATGACTGGGGCCTGGCTTCAAGGTGAAGGTGTTGACCCAGCCAGTTCTCCCAGAGTCCTTTGTCCATCACTGGTTTCCCAGGGTCCTCTGTTCATCCCCTTGGCAGACAGAGCACAAGTCCTTGTTCTGACCCTGACACTACCTTCTTTCCCCCACATGAAGCCCTGGTCTCCAAGGGAGACAACCCAGCCCCGTCCAGTTCACGACATTTGACTAGCGTTCCAGGCCTTCAGACAATCTTTGGGCAGCCGCCTTCTGCTCTGAGTGGCTTCTTACAGTCAAATGACCTGTCAGCTAAAAGACCACAGAGCTCGTGAACTGTAGTGAAGCAGAAACAGGAAGACAGCCACTGAAAACCCTATTCTCCCTGCACAAGACTGTCACTGCTGTGCTTAAAATAAAAAAAAAGTTTTGAGTTGAGCTAAGTCTGATTAATCATGGCTCCACCTAGCTCCAGAGTACACAATAGGATTGTCCATGTTTTTTGGGAAACAAATCACCGGGCCTTTCTTTCTAGGCACCTCTAGGTAGACTCAAACCTCCAACCTTTGAGTGCATAACTGTTTGCATCACCAAAGGACCCCCCACCCCCCGTCCCACAAACCCACTGTCATCCAGATGATCCTGATTCACAGTGACCCTACAGGACAGACTAGACCTGCCCATGGGCTTTCCAAGGCTGCATATCTCTATGGGAGCAGTTGGCCTCATCTTTCTCCTGTGGAGGGACTAACGGTTCAAACTGCACACCTTGGGGTTGGCAGCTGAGCACTTAACCACCGTGTCACCGGGGTTCCTTCCACCGCCCCTTACCAAACCAACTCCCTGCCATCCAGTCTACTCGGACTCTCGGCGACCCTCTAGGACAGAGGAGAACAGCCCCTGAGGATTACTAAGGCTGGAAAGCCTCATCTTGCTCCTGCAGAGAAGCCGGTGGGTTCAAACTGCCGGCCTGGGCCTACTACATCACCCGGCTCCTTTCCCATAGGGTGTTTATCCAAACCCACAGGTCAAGAAGAGTGACAAAGCCCATTTGTGGAGGCACCATAGCTCTTGGTAGCCCTGCTCCTGGTCCACTGGCCTTCTGAGCCTCCTCAGAGGGGGGACTAGCAGAAAACACCTCCTTCAGAATGGCACCTTTGGGAGCCTGCTTACCCCTGGAGTAGTTTAGAGCTGTGAATCCCCGGGGTTGCTTACGTGTTTCTTGCAGCCCACGCTGGTGGTCTCTTGACAAATGAAATTCCATCAAGTACTTTGGTAGATATATATAATCGTCTGTCAATTTGAGGATTAAGAGTGTAGGGGTGGAGTCTAGCTTGTCAATCAGGTCATAGCCAATGGGCATGGCCTTCTCCTGAGAATTCTGGGAAATCCAGTACTTCCTCCTTGGAGGTGGGAGAGTCTGCTCCTACCCTGGGAGACATAGCAGCTGACAAGACACATGGAC